AATGAACTCTAAAACTGTCTATTAATGACAAAATCTTTTTTTTTATTCTCCTTAAAATTTACTGAATATCCATGGTGCATTAACGGAAACAAAGGCATAATAGTTCAATAACAAAATCAGCAGAAAGCTGTATCCCATTCTGATAGAATAAAAAACTGAAGTCAGCCTTTGTTTTCACTCTTCAGAAAAAAAGAGAGAACAGGGAATTACACAAGGCCCTTTCCATGAAACATTTAGTAACTTGGGACAAAGAACTGCGCACTTACGTAACCACAACAGTAATTCTACAAAGGAGAGCCCCATTCAAAGTGTGCTTTAATCACGTGGCATAACAACTCGACTTTCATTCACAACTTCATTCTTTACAGTATTGCACTTTAGTGTCGGCGTGTATTGCACATACGCCACAAAAGTGTGTTTTTTTAGATATGGAAGATTAGAAACACTTATTTTAAAGGAAAAATTAAAAGGACCGAGCAAAGGTACTGGGGAACTTTCTCTTAACATTTTTACATAAGCGTTGCATAACAGAAAACCGCCCGAAGCGGTCAAAGTTGCCAACTTCGCGTCGCCCAGGAAGGGCAATGAAACTATTCCATAAGAGGCGAAAGAAGGCGTGTGAAATCTGTCAGGACCGAGAAAAAGCTGCTTTAATTACAGCTCTGAAGTAACTTTTCCAGGCTGTCCCCAACTCCCCACCCGCCCCCACTGCTTATCCTACTCCTGCTCGAGATCTGACTGTCTTTACCGTCTCGCTGCTGCTCACAAGTTTTCAGACCCGGGGAACAGGAGGAAGCGGCGGCGGCGGCGGCAGGTGGACCCTCTTCCTTGACTTTCTTGCAGGACCGCTGCACCTTCGAGACCCCTTTACGTTTCCCGACCATCCCGGCCGCTATTTCGCGAAAGAAAACAGCCCGATCCGCCAACCCCAGGAGCGGCGGAGCCACGAAAGAGAACAGCGACTAGGGAGGCAGAAGCCCGGCGGCCTCCCGAAGATGCCAAAGAAGAGCGAAGCGTCTCTTTCGGACTTAGCGCAGGGCGGCTGGTGGCCGGGCTGTCGCTCCGCAGCAGCAGCCCTTATAACCGTCCTCCGTTACTCCGGCTTCTCGCAGGAGACAAGCCAGACAGAGCCACGCCGGGCGCTCCGGGCTTTCCGCGGCACCTCCTCCCTGACGTCCCTTCCGTGCCGGCGGCTCCGGAGAACCTGCGCTGCAGCGGACCGGGGGCTCTGGCGGGGACGCTTGCCCTTGTGAACCACTGGACTACGGATCGAGCTGACTGCGCTTCGCATCCCTCCGTTGCATCGGAGGAAGACCCCGCAACTTATTTCTCGGCTCCCTGGAAGCTTCCAAGAGGAAGCGTAAAAACGCTCAAGCTTCACGCCTGATCTATGGATATTCATTCACACGGGCGGTTTTGAATCGGTTCAAAGGGAGATGCATTAAAGAACAGGAGAAAAACCGGAAACAGAGATGATGGCTTGTTTGTGTGTGAATTCAGCCTATGAATCTAATCCAATGTTTCTCAACCTGGGCGACGTTAAGATGGAGTAGGAGTTGAAGTCCACACATCTTAAAATTTGCCCAGGTTGAAAAAGAATGGTCCAGTCTACCAAGCAAATAAAAAAAAAAAAAGCAGTATTATAAAGGCAAAAGAGCGGCGATTTCGATGAACTAACCCGGAAGCTAGACGTTACACGAACATCTATGTTTTATCTATATTTATGTACTCCGCTAGACGTTCGGTAGCCGTATCGGACTTGATATAAAATCTCGCGAGAACTAAGTAGTCTGCCTTTGAAAAAAATGGCGGACGAGGTGGATCAGGTGGGTGAAATGACGGGCATGGCGGTTTGTCGGCCGCTGAATCTTTTAGGAATTTGGCCCTGTTGCGGTGGAAAGTGTGGCAAGCCTGGGGGATGGTTAACCAGAGCTTCAGTTTCTAGCTCTCGCTTTGAGTTTCGCAAAATCCTGGGAACGAAGGCGTCCGTGTTTCATTCAGCGACCTGCCTCTTGCGGTTTATTTAATCGATTTATATGGTCGCTCATCTCTCATACTGTACACGACTCTTACTGAAAGCTGCTTTTGGCTTCCTTTTTCAAAGCCTTAGCAGATGCAAACATATTAAAGTTTTGCAGTGGGTGAAATGCTATTTCATGGTTTCTGATCAAATGCCTTAAATCGGGGGTCTTCAAACTTGGCCCTTTTATGACTTGTGGACTTCAACTCCCAGAATTCCTCAGCCAGCGTGCCTGGCTGAGAAATTCTGGGAGTTGAAGTCCACAAGTCATAAAAGGGCCAAGTTTGAAGACGCCTGCCTTAAATCGATGTTTCTCAAAATGTGGCATCCCAGAGGCCCGCAAAATCGAAATGATTTGCTAGTCGGCTTGAAAAACGATACAATATTAAAATTCTCGCGGGCTATAGTGAGAAGTCGATAAAGATTCTCAGTCATCCAGGTAGAGTTGTCTCGAAGTTAAGTCAGGGCAACTGGACTACGTTTCTTTTTGGTTTGAAACGTTCGCTGCTTATTCAAGTGTCCGTTTTAATTTTTGATGTGAATATTGATAAATATAACCTATACAAACAATTTTGGGGTTCAGTATAATTTTTTAAAGTGGCAAGGGATCCTGAGGGGAAAAACGTTTAAGAAATGCTGCCTTAAATCGTTCTCCATTACTATATTGGTCCTTAAACCTTGAGCTACACCTGGATTAAACCCAAGAGGCACCTTTTTCTAAAGTGGGTATCACTAGTGTGTTGCTGTGATCTGAGTGTACAAATTTGTGTGGCTGCTGTATGCCTTTTGTGTGTAAAAATAATATGTTCTAATTTAATTGTACTTGTTGAAGAGTAGCAAGTTACTTATACAGTATATATGCTCTCTATAAGTAGGAAAGCTTAGGCTGTATTTTATCTATAAAATCTCAATTGTATGGGCATTTCTTAATATATAACTTTTTAATTATAAAGTTATTGCAGTTAGTGACATTTATTGGAAAATAAGTCATTATGAACTTGGAATATAAAACAGGAAAATAGCATATGACCACATAGTCTTTCTGTTTGGGATTGACAAATATTATGGTCAAAGAAAAAATTAAATATATGTAATTTGAAGAACATTGATTCAAAGTATGTCAGCAAAATATAGACATTATATCCTTTGATAAAATAGACTGGCTCTTTCTAGTGAAATGTACATCCAGTCTTTTGTTTAAGAAAGAGGTGGGGGCAAATAATAATATACCAAATAAAATAATTACTAATGGGGGCTAAGTTGAGAGAAGAAACAGTATACATTTTCTCTAATTTTACTTGCATTTTCCTGTTGATCCAGTCAGCACAAGTGAACTCTTGTCCCTCTGAAAGCTGACGAAAATTCACCATATTAGATTATGTTACAAACTATTACTTAATTTCCTCCCATTTGATTTCAGTAAACATTAATCATCATCTGATTAGGGTTTTTTGAGAGGAAAGGAATAATTATCAGTAGCCAACATTTACCACTTATCTATATACAGCCTGCTTTTATTTTTATAAATAATTCAAGGTAACAAACATATCTAATACTCCCTCCTCTTATTTTCCCACAACAACAACCTTGTGAGGTGGGTTGGGCTGAGAGAGAGTGATCTGTCTAAAGTCATGCAGCTGGCTTTGATGCCTAAGGTGGAGCTACCGGTAGATCTCATGGTCTCCTCGGTAGATCTCATGGTCTCCTCGTTCTTAGTCTGGTGCCTTAACTACTAGACTAAATTGTCTCATGTTTCTTTGCTAAAGTATGTCTCTAAATTGTTACATTTTGCAGCAACAAACCACCAACACTGTAGAAGAACCTTTGGATCTCATCAGGCTTAGTCTTGATGAACGGATTTATGTAAAAATGAGGAATGACCGAGAACTTCGAGGCAGGTTACATGTAAGTAAAATTACATAGAAGTGGGGAGGAGGGGCTGAAATTTTAAAGTAGAGATACCGGTATAACTATTTGCAAGTGGTTATAAAGGGGTGAAAAAGGTCACCTTTTTTCTGCAGTTTTATACTTCTGGTTTAAAGGTAATTTTTTTCTTAAAGTAAAACAAATTATGAACGATGCTTATTTAGTAATAGATAATTGTGGAGAAAAAAAAGTTAAGTTATAATTTATTGTTTATCAAATTTATATGCCACCCATCTCACTGTAAAGTTAGTTTGTCATGCAAGCAAAAATAGAGTCAGTTGATCAAAATAACGATGGCTTGTTTATCCTATTCCTGATTTCTATTTTCTTTTCTAAATATTTATTTTTGTTCTATCTCTGGATTGGTTGGAGCTTTGATATGAGCACAAACAAGTTAAAAACATATATAGATCTTGGAACTCCATTTTTAAAATCACAGCTTTATACCACAATTGCAGTTAATTAGCAAAACAAATAGAGGTTCAATGTACGGCCCACATGTAGAATTATAATCCAGAAAAGGTTTCCAAATTGAAATTCTGTGCCAGACTTGTTTTTAAATACGGAATTAAGTTTGACTTGGATGCATACTCCCATAACTTAATTTGCCATCTTTTAAAGGGAATTATGTATGATTTCCAATAAAGGCACAAAGAGTCCTGACAGCTATTATCCTATAAGAGCTACCTTAAAATAGATTTAAAAATCGAATGTTTGGGACTTCCGGTTTGAGTTCCTGTGCCGATGGCGGCGTTTTCGTTCGCCGCCTGCTCCGAGGACGCGTAAAAGCCGCAGGAGCAGCGTCAAACAGCTGCTCCGCGGCTTGAATCCCCTTCCCGGGCAAAGGGGAGGGGAGAGAGCTTCCCAGATAGGGGTAGAACTCCTGAGCTCCCACAGTTTTATAGCTGTGGGG